AGAGCTCGGCACTCCCGAAACGGGCGACGCTCGACTGGCTCCCAGCGACCTGACGTGCGCCAAACGCCGAGCCGGCCGGCCATCGCCTAATCCACGGGCGGACGTCACGCGACCGGAGCGCGCGAGCGAGCGCGGCGAGCCGCCAAGCCGTCCCTGCCTGCGAGCGCCGGCCGCCGGCTCCACGGCGCGTCCGACCGCCGCCGCCCGCCGCCCCAAAGCAGCCCAACATGGCGCCTGGTCCCACCGCAACGGAATGATGCGGCGCTAGATGCTGTCACGGCCGCAACAGGATTGAGCTACCAGCGCGGCGTGTTCCCCCGATCCGCCGACACCGGATTACCGGGCTCAGCAGCACCTGGCAGCGGCGCCGGCCGGCCTGGACGCCTTGTATCTCATTGACCAACACGCCGCGCGATGCGGATCGGGTCGGGACGCGTTCGTTCCCACGATGCCCGCGGGGGGGGGGGGTTCCCACGCACGAGACCAGGGGGACAGAACTGTGGGCGCTCCCCCCGCAGGACCGGGTCCTCTTCGACTAGCCCAGCTGACAGGGGGCGGCGTCAGAGCGGCGGGCGACGAGAACCCTTTAACCTGGGGCCGACCCTCTGACAGCGACCGCGGGCGTTCAGAGCGACCACCCACCAGCGGTGGAACAAGAGCTCGCCGGCCGTCATCCGGCTGCGGGCTTCAGACGGTTCTCGTACGGCGGGATACCAAGGACGGGGGAAACAGTGGTCGGCGGGTTGGCGTCCAAAGTTCTTCAACTTCAGTGAGCGCAAAGTGCGACCCCACCAGCACGGCAGAAGCCAGCAGACAGACTGTAGTTTGGTGACCGCTTCGCCGCTGACGACTCTGGCGAGAAGCAGGGCGGCGGGCCGGGCAGGGAAGAGAGCTGTCTGACACCAATGGCACGCATGTGGGGCGGGACCCAGACGGTACGCAGACGATGCCGGATGCGGGGCGCGCGCTGACGGCAGCTGACTAATCGATACATATGTCCCATGTGACACGGCTCAGCTACGCCGTACCACTTCGGTTATCGGTTCAGCCGCGCTATATCGCTTCGGCGGGGCCTCTGGCCGGACTTTCCAAATGCTGTGTGTTTCGAATAAGTTCCGTCGATTGCTAACAATGCATCATTGTTCAGCGTTGCAGCGTCTGCAAACAACTGTGCCGGCGCTGTGAGAACAATTACTTCCATTAACTTTCATTCAGATATCCCCTGACAGCCTCCGTACCCCGAATGACAGTCGGCCGACCTTTCTATTTTATCTTCCATTCCTCTGTCACCGACAGAACCTGAGCCCATCCCCTCCGAACCACCCCAGCGCCGCCCACCAAGCCAGCGGACCCGGAGCGATGCCCGCCTCGGCGCGTCTCCGCCGGCAGCGACCTCGACCCTCCGGCGGCCGCCCCGCGGCCACCGGGGCCCGTCATTATCCCATTGGCCGCGTGCTCGGTGGCTGACTCACAGCGGCCGGCTGATGGCGCTCAATGAGGCCGGCCTCTCAATACCGGGCCGGCCAGGCCTCTTGCGCCGCCGGCACCATCACCATGACCGTGCAGCACGGCCAGACGTTCCCCTCCCCCCGGACCGGCTCCATACGGCATCCTCTAGCAGGACGACAGCTGGCCGGAGCGCTTCGGCGTGCATCCGCAGCGGAATGCGCGACTGGACGGCTGCATTCAAACGGCTGTGCCGCGACGACCAAGTGAACGTCCCTATCCGACAGTGCACGTCAGAGGCGCCGCACGTCAGTGACATCGCACGTGTGTATCCCTGACAGGACGTGCACGTCAGTCAGTAGTGTGTCTGTGTCAGAACGTGCACGTCAGTCAGTAGCGTGTCTGTGTCAGGACGTGCACGTCAGTCAGTCAAAACATGCACGTATGCGCCGGCGCACGCATATACCAGGACACATGCATGTTTATCCGTTGCGGCGCACCCACGTCCGTCCCCGCCGGCGCCCGTATGTGTGTGCCAACGCCCGTGTGTACCGCTGCACGTGTGTGCTGACGCGCCTGAGTACGGCGCCGGCGCCCGCCAGCCGGCGCCGGCGGCTATCAATCGCCGCACCACCGCGTGTCAATAGCCGGCTCATTATCGTGCACCATCGATAAGATGCAGTCAGCCCCTAAAATATTGCAACCAATAAACTGCGAAACAATACCAGATTTACGGCCCGTCATAAATCGCGCGCGAGCTATACACTATATGGCCGGAGTCCGGGTGCCACCACGGCGCGCCTGCCCGTGCTGCCCCGCGTTGCCCTCGTCGTGCCCGGGTGCCCGGCGCTGCCGCCGCTGCCCGGGCGGCACAGGGCAGCGCCGCCGGTGCCGCAGCGGCCGCGCGTCGCCGCGCCCTGTCGCACCGTATATTTGTGCAGTCTGGCGACCCAAGGCTACGGACAGGCTCGTCAATGGGGCCGAACTAATGACGGCCAACCATACGGCACTGTCATCCGGCGGCGCTTACGACTTTGTTTTCGCCGCGCCGCCGCCGCCGCCGCCGCCCGGCCAGATGTTTATGCTCGCCGCCGGCCGATGTCGGCTGATTGTGGCACGATCGTGGCGCGCGCCACGCGTCCGCTGACGCCGCCCAGCGCCATCACGACCGTCATTTGATTACCGATACTGGCGTCAGCACGGGGCTAGCGCGGCCAGCCGTCCCTCGGCCGGCCGCCACAGACAGCGGAGCACCCGCCGTCGACGACGTCAGAGCGTCGGCGTTCCGTTCACCGCGCCACCAGGGCGCTCCGCCGACGCAGCTGGTCCACTGAAGCAGGCGGTCCACCGGTGCAGGCGGTCCACTGTGGAGCGGACCCGGCGGTCCGTCTCACACGGCCCGGCCGCCGTCGGCCGCGCGGCGGCTGTCAGATAACTGAGGCCCGGTCATAAAGGGCGGCCAAGGCTTTACGCTTGTCGATGCCGATCTTAGATGGCGTCCTGACTGGCCGGCATTCGATTTATGGCCGCCCGGGTGCAACGGCGCTGCCGCGGAACAGCCGGACGAGAACTCAGGCGGCGTCACGGACGGCGGTGGCTGCTGAAGACGGCCAAAACCATGGTTTCAACGAGGCGAGCCGGCTGCCGGAGTTCAGTGGTTTCAGGTCAAGGTGCATGGCCATGCCGCCGGAATGTGGACAGCCAAGACACCTGACACTGCGAAAGTCGGGTGTGTTGGGCACGTGGACTGTCGCCATCTTCATGTCATGTCGCTGTCGTGGCGTGTCGGCATCCCAGGGCTGAGCACAGCGCACAGCCGATGAGCTCACTCACCTCTCTTTGGAATGACGGCCTTGAGCAGGTAGACGGCGGCATCATCGACGGCCCAGGCGTGCATTTTGCGGTAGCTGTCGCGCCCCTTCTCAGTCAGCTTCTCCCACGGCTTGGGCTTGCTCAGCAGCTCGCTGACTGTGCCCTGGGACAGGCCGAGGATGTAGCGCGCGAACATGCGCTGGCCGATGTTGTTGATGCTGAGCAGCTCGCGCACGCGCCGCGCCAGTTGCAGCGTGTCCAGGCTCTGGTTGGCGTACTTGTCCATGTTGTAGCGCAGCATCTCCTGCAGGCGCGTCTCCATCGGGTCGCCCTTGGGGATGAGCCGGTCGGCGCGGTCCGTCTCGTCGAAGTGGTAGGCGGCGGCGGCGGCGGCGGCCACGGCGGCAGCGTGCTCGGCCGGGCCCGGGCTGGGCGCCGGCTCGGCGGCGCCGCTCGTCTTGCTGTCCGGGCTGGCCGCCTCGTCGCGCTCGGACGGCGAGCGGGGCGGCGCGGCCGCGCGCCGCCAGCCCTCCTCGCCTATCAGAGAGGCCACCGGCTCAGCGTGGCCGCCCGGCGCCGGCCGGCGCGCCGGCGGCACCGGCGGCGCGCCGGCCGACTGCGACGCCAGCGACGCCAGCGCACCGCTGGCCGACGCGAACGGCGCGGCGGCCAGTGTCGCCGGCGACGGCAGCAAGAGGCGGCACGCGCCGCCCGACACACCACCCCCGAGTGCCGACTCCCCTAGCAGGGGCAGGCCGGCGCCTGCAAGAGAGAGAGGTGCCTCGTGTTCCGCCGCTCTCTCCTCGCCGCCGAATTTAGCCGCGGCCGGCGGACGACACCCGCCCCGCCCGCCTTGTCATCACGTCAACACGGCCCCACGTGACACGACATGCGGGGAGGGTCGACTGCGGGCCGCGCGGCGCCGCCCGGGAGGCCGACACCGAGATCGGGCGCCCCGCGCACGGCAAAACATGCCGCCGAGCGCCAGCTTCAGCAAAATCCGCCACGCGCAGCGCGCGGCAAGCGAGGAGACAGCGAGCGGAACTCAAAGCACCTTTTTCTACGAGGCAGGACGACGCGGGAAGCCGGGGCCCACGGGGCGTGCGTCAACGCGTGGGTTACAACCAATCTAAACAGCGGACGACAGGCGGCAGACACCGGCTGGCAGCGCAGCGTGCCGGACCCAGGATAGCGCCCCGGTGACCGGGTCCCACGCCGCCGTGCGCCGCTGGCCGGGCGCACGACGCGGGTTGCTAGGGACGGCCGAGCACCCGGCCATGTAATCTGGTATTCGAACAGAATGCGGTGTGGCTCTGGGCCGGCCAGGCGGCGGGCAGCGTGGTGACGCCGGTTGTACCAACGTACGCCTCAAACCCCCCTATCGCAGACAAGAAACACGTGTTTCGGTTTGTGACGGTGACAGCAATCATCGCTCAAACGCCGGCAACTACGCTACACAATTTTGATATCCCGTAGATAACCGCCACGCCGACATGGAAACACCAATCCGGCTTGGACGACAAAAACGACAGGAGTGTAACGTTCAGACTGCGATTTCAAGATTGGCTAAAAAAACGCCTGCAACAGATGGCCAATCCCCTTCAACAACCGGCGTGATACGGTTGTAATTCAGCTAGATGCGTCCGCGCCACGCCGCCACCCGGCCCGCCACCTGGCCGGGGCCCGCTTCCCACGATCGGCCGTGCGACCCGGCCCGCTCCGGGTCAGGTCAGGCGACTCACCCTGCAGCTCGCCCGTCTTGACCTTGAGCGCCGTGTTCTCGTTCTGCATGGCCTTGCTCTTCTCGAGCATGAGCACCTCGAGTGGTTTGGCTCCCGACAGAGATCTCTCGTCAGCGGTGGAGGACTGAGACGTGCCAGGAAACTCGATCGATTTCAGTATCCTGCAACCAGCCGTAACGGTGTCATCGGTGTCCCCGCTACCGCTGCACGGCGTACATCGTCTGCTGCGGCCCAATCGGGCTAATTGCGTCTGCGCGCGTCCGTACAAGAGACGGGCGGGTGGACACTGGACGGTCACGAACAGGGTCGATTTGTGGCCCCTGACATGGACGCGGTTGCTCCTTGCCTTCATGGACTATTCCTAATTGATTTGTGGCCCCTGATGGAAAGAGATATCAGCCAGCACAAAGGCCTAATGAGACCAATTACGCTTACGGTAGGCAAGTGAGGCTGCAGGGATAGCACGGTGGACAATGGGCACAGACGTGAAGCGGCGATTTCGCCTAACGTGATCGCTCAAAAGTACATTTGCTGACTTTCGATACATGAATGCTACATTACAGCGACTTCGCATGCTGATTGCCGCGATGGCCTGTACCGACGTCAAGTTGTGAAGACTCTTGTGTTCCGCAAAAGTGACGCACAACTCTGGAGGCGGTCCAGCAGAATGGACGCCACTTACGAGAATTCCTTTTTCAGCTCTTCATAGTCTTTCTGCTGTTCAATGATAGCCTCGAGGCGCTGGATAACATTGCTCTTTTGTTCCAGCTCCTCTTCTAGCTTGGCTCTTTGGCATACCGACTGGTTTTCGAGCTCGGTCAGCTGGCTCTGCAGTCTCTGCACGTCCTCCACCAACTGAGAGATCTGCAACAGGATATATACCGGTCAGCACCGGCCACATCACACGGGCACCGGACAGGAGTCAACAGGATCACATCTGACCACCAGACACAGGTACGGAGGATTTCGCCCCCAGCAAAAAACAACAACTACCCGAGTCCCACGGACGGCGCCAACAGGGACCACACACGAACACCTGTCAGCGGCCAAGCATATCAGCTGACGCAGCGTGACATTATCACGGGCCACACCGAAGTACCGGCCATATCGACGAATACAACGCTGCGCTCCGCCGTCATGGTCCGGCCCATGGCGTGGCGCGAACAAGCTGTCCGCATACAGCGAACAGGCCGTCCGGATACAGCGAGAGGCCGCCGAAAGCGGACGCGTCTCCGACTCCACCGACACCTGACGCCTGTCTGAGATCCGTCTCCGACGCAAGCGGCGCGTCCCTGCACCCGCAAGCGCTCGGTGGATCTCCACACGCTCTCACGCGGCACGCTCCAACGCTGCACGAACCCGCACCCCAACAGACTGCTTCCCGTTTAAGGCCGAATTCCTAATAGTTCACCCACTCGTACTGTACCATCGCCCACCTAAGCTTCGAGCCCCTGAAGCCATTCACCTTTGGGTTATCTGCACCTGCCAACTCCCCTCCCCCCCCCCCCCCCCCAACCCCCAAGCCCTGCTGCCATTCATTTTCGCCACCTTCGCTCACGCCCCCACCCCGAGACCCCGCACCCACCCCCCACTCCACTGCTCCGCGGTGCAGTACGAACCTCCTCGGCCGCGGGGCTGAGCGCCGGGCGGCTGGAGCGCCGACCGCCGGGGCGGCGCCCGGTGACGACGCGGGCCACCGGGCCGGGCCGCCGCCCACCGGCCGCCGCCACCGCGCTATTAACGGCCGATGATGATGAACGGGAGGCCTGCCGCGCCGATCAGGAGCCTTCCACCTCCGTAAGGGTTAATCTGGTTCCGTTTTATTTTAATTACCGCGCGCCGGCGGGTGAGCTGCCGGCGGCGGCGCGGCTCGGGCCCGGGGCGTGGGAACGGCGCCGCCGAGGGCAGGAAGTCGGCAGCGACACGCCCCGCAAAAAGCGCGCTACGAGAGCGCGCGGCGGCGGCGCGCGCCGCGCCGGCCGCCGCCGCCGCAAAAAGGCACGCCGTCCGGCGGAACAGGGGCGCCACGAACGGCCACGTGGCGCCGAGTTTGTCGCCGCGGACGCGCGGCGAACGCACCGCCTGACGCGGGGCACGCCCAGCAGCGGCACTGCACCCCCGCCAGCGGAGCGTGCCCTCCCTCTCACTTTCGGCGCGAGGCTGCCCTGGTGGCCGGGTCACGTCCCCGTCGGTGCGACAGTGTGTCACCGTCGGCCGGGGCGGGTCACAGGGCGCGCCCGCCCGCCGCAAATCAATCGCCCGACCGACCGACCGGCGAATTTCACACTCGAACGGCCGGGGTAATTGAACGCGACCGAACAGTGTGCTCAAAGGGCGAAACGCCTTTTTATCATAAAAGACGGCATAAATCAGTTTTACGACGATATCGGAGCCACTCCGCCGTGACGGTATTGGGGCCGATCAGCGGCGGCTAAGTGGCCGTTTCCGTCGTGACACAAAGAGACGGACGGCCGATTGTCGTGCCGCGCTCAATCACCGCCGCCGATCGGGGCACGCGGCGGACGGCTGCCCGAACTGCGACGTCGGTTTTCCCTACGTTTCCAATAAATGATTGCGGGCCGCGCCGTCGGACCGCGACCCGTCGCCGCAGGACCGACCGCGCGGCGGACGGGGTCGACCGAGCGCCGCGCCGCGCCCGGACATCGACGTGCGTTTTTAACGGCGCCGCTCCCCTCCTTCGGCGCAATCTGCCGATCGCCGTCCCCGTTTTAAAAAGACCCTGCACGCGCCAATTAGGGAGGACCATCGGCCCAATCCGGGCGGGCGAGCGGAGCCCGCGGACGGCACGCGCGCCGAACGGAAACGGACGGGTCACGCGGCCGCCGCCTCTTTGTCCCGCACATGTCCGGCGAGCATTTTTACAACTTCTGCTCTATCCCCACCGTTCAGCTGACGTAACCTAATCCGCAGACGCTAACAAACCGTCAATTACTCGATCTGGCACAATTAGTCTCAATACTGATCGGAAGATTAGGTTTTTTGGCGGCGGCGGGGGGGGGGGGGGAATTAGAGCGCCTTGTTGCGGGGCAGCTGCCACTCGGTTTTTACGGTGACGTCCTCCCCAGCCGCCCCGGCTGGACAGCCTCGGACGTCATTCCCGTCCGACAGCATGGCTCGACGCTGCACGCCGCGCCAAAAACCGGCCCACAATGTGACAATCTACGTTGCCATGGACGAACGGGCAGGGGCGGAGGAAGACAGCATCATGCCCCTATTCTCACGGACGTTGACAGCAATTTCATGGCGACGCATGGAAATAGCTGACTGCAGATAACCCCGTTTCAAAGGCAGTCAGTTCAAGCGGCTCGACGGGTTCATCGTGGCGTGGCGGCGTGCTTTTGATATTGCCGACGGACGACGGAGTTTTCCTTGTCGAAATAAGGATTATATGCTCTTATACGGCTTACAACAAAAGCAAGTTAGCCAGATAGTTCACGGAGTACATACCGAAGTTAATGCTGTAGATAAGCCAAAAGTAGATATCACTGAAGAAAATATGCTTTTTATCAGTCAGTAAGGAATCGGAGGGAACATTTTCGTGACAGTAAGCCCTGGAAACGGAAAATCTGAACGGCAGCCGGTTTGTTGTTGTTCATTGGTGTTTTAGGGCACGTCGACTACAATGGTCATTTTGCGCCCAGACAGCAATCGGGCACACGAGAGGTGTTCCAACTGTATTTTGCTCTGAAGCGAACATACAAATTCAGGCGCTTGAAAACAATTCTCAGCCAGAACGGAGCCCGAATGCCAGAAGTACACACGCTCTCGCACTAGCACGTGTTAGCAAAAATAATGGCAAAGGAAAGACACCACGTTAACCTGAAGCGTTTGCTGCATCGTTTCACATGTTCAGCTCAAACACGTTGCATGGTGCGCTCAATCTCTGTCAGGACAGATTTACGAACGCTGACTTTGCAGGCTAATTCAGACACGCCTTAGCAGCACAAATTAAATTTTGACCTTAAAGGTGGGATACTCACTTTAAAACGGATATCCACCCCCTCCTCCCTTCCACATTTTTTGTAACATTCCTACGCCCCTGGTAGTAACTGCGTACCGCGCACCGTGCGACCAGGTGATAGCTGTCCTGTTCTGTCGTTGGCAGGCAGCGGAATGCCGATCTGACACCCTGCAGAACGGCCTCCAGCATCGCCGCCCCACCGCACCAGCCAGATTCCGTACCGAGACATGCAGGATGCCACCGGAAAAATGTCAGCCAGAGCGGCACGTCACGCTTCCCTGGAGCGCACGCTTTGACGTAACGCCCCAATGGCGCCGCTGGGGCGACCAATCGCCACCAAGACGAACTTCTTATCGACCAATCGGGGCCCGTCATCGATGGCAATGGCCAGTCAGCGGCAGGTTTCCTCGTCCGCTGCTATCGGCTGCTATCGCCGACCATGTCACTCCATGAACGGCTCAGCATCTGTGACACCTCCAGCGGTGCTGGACGGCACCGACAGACAGGCGGCGCCGTTCTGCTCGCAGCAGACGCAGCAGCACCTTGCTGACGGCACGGCAGGACCAGGTCCTCCCTGAAGCGAGCGCGCCGGACAGGTCGCGAGAGGCGCCCGGCCACTCGACCGCTGGCGCGATGGCGTTTTTAAACCCCGACTTTTTGCGGGCAGCGCCCCCTCTGCAGCGATAAGAACAATTCCACGACTTGAAGGCCGGCCCGGCATCGGGTGTCGCCATTTCGGTGGCTGATAGGACACGTTTGGCGCCCTTGCCTTTCAAAAACTAACGGCGCAAAACAAGCAATTAAAGTCGGCATTGTTCTGACCTCACTGTAAGTGTAAATTCGGTGGAGCGGCAAATTGGCATAATTATGACGGCCAACAGGGAATTAAGCCGGCGTCGCAGGGCGGCGGGAGGGGGCTGGAGACGGTGATAAGACGCCGCAAGTGAGTGATGGCTCCTTGGTGTGCCAATGTGACGCTGGTGGAGACGGTCAACAGCATGGCCTCCCGGGGATTGTAAAGCACCTCTCTGGCACCACATAATGTTTTCAACAACCTGATTCAAGTATAGGGCTTATGGCACACACTGAACCGTTCGGAGTTCGTCAACAAATGTTTGAGGAGAAACACGTCAGCGGCATACCGACTCTCCGAGAGCTGGTTTGCGTGAAAAATGCGTGCCAACAACAAAAGTAGCCGTACTTTTGACAGTTTCCGTCTTGGAAAGTAGCTCGATCCTCCATCGTAAAGCCTCACCTCAGTTCGGAGAATTCCGGTCTCTCTCAGCACGTATGGTGCAGCAGAACGGACTGTGTTTAAAGCGTCCCATGATTGACCCATGTCCGGGTCAACGGGCATGTGATTCAGTCCGGAACACCGAGCCGGTACGAAAGTCTGCAGTGCGCACCGGCGGCGGGGCAGCGCGGTCCGTGTGGTACACCGTGTCGCGGTCAGCAGACATCGCTCAAACACGACGCTACGGCGCCGACGGGCCGAGCCTTGGGCCGCGCCCGTGTGTCACAGGCGTCCGCAGTTCCGCCCGCCCAAACGACCCCGACGCGGCCGCAGGGAACACTCGTAACTGCCTTCAGTCGGCCGGCGCCGGTGTTAAAAGCCATTGCGCGCCGCCACCGGTGTCCACCTCGGACCAACTTCAGTAACGACCGCTGCACCGCCACGTGCCCGCAAGACGCATTAGCGGCCACTTGCGCTGCCGGTCGCCGGCGCGGGCAGGCACGAGCGGGCGGCGGCGGCGGCGGCGGCGCCCCGGGTCGATGCACCAGTATCGGCCATCCATCAGGGGCGCGCCGCGGTGCTTCACACCGTGAGTGCCGCGACCGCCGCCGCCGCCGACGCCGCGTCGATGCTCACATCGTCGGCGCCGACGGCTCCGACGACCTGCGACGATCGGCGCCGTCCCGGGCGCGAGCGATCGCCCGGCAGTCGCCGGGACAATGGAGGACCGAGCCCGTCCCCTGCCGCCGCCGTCGGCCACCTGACGGGACGGCCGACGCTCTCACCAGGCCCGCCGGCGCGTGACAATGGCGCTCAAGGCGTGCATGGCGCCCGGCAAAACAGCCATCATCGGCCATTGACGGACAAACAGGCAGGTCAAAAGACGGCCCCCCGCGGCGGGACGATTAGCCAGGCCCGCCGGCGGCGCGGTGTAAACAGCACTCGCCACTCAGGCGCCTCGGGAGTTACGCTGTACGCGCGTGCACGAAATAAAGCGGTGGGGCACGACGCCTGTGCTACAGGCTCGGCCGCGGACAAGCTAAATTGAGTAGTCTTTGGTGCTTTCGGGCGCAGCGTACATTCCCGTTCCACTTCAGCAAGCCTAACTTAGCCCCTCCCGCGTTTCACCGTATTTGACGTTCGCGTTGTGCCGAACTGGTTCTCAGAGCCACACTGCACGCTCCCAAGCACCATGGCATGGCTTGCAGGACGATCAGAATGTCGTATTCTTTTCCCGACATGTCGGCTTTAAATAGATTTTGCGTCGTTTCAACATAACGAAAACCTGGGGTGCCTGTATTTATCAATCTCGCAATCACTGTTTCCATGAATGTCAGCCGTTCTGCGGATGCTCGTAATGGCGATGTCTCAAGTCAGCAAAAATACTATATTTTCCCGTCCAGGACAATGGGCAGGCGACCCAAGCGCTTCACGCCTGGACAACCAAGCAAACCCATTATCTACCGTAGGTGCTGACTCTCGCAAGGCGCACCCCCCCCCCCCCCCTCTCGCCCTGGATGCATCCCTGGCTCACCGCACCCTCTGCCCTGGATAAGCCCCTGCTCCGAGCGCCAGCCCCCTGCCCTGGATACGACCCCTGCTCCCCTTCCCCTGCTCTGCCCTGGATGCGCCCCTTCGCAGCCGTCGCCCAGCTCACCTCATTGTCTTTGGAAGCGAGCTGCCGTTCGGTGACGGAGCGCCGCTGCGAATCGGAGCCAACATCGCCCTCGTCGGCCAGCTGGGCCCGCTTCACGCTGACCGCCAGCTGCTCTTTCAGCGTGTCAACCTCTCTCTCGGCCAGGGCAGCTCTCTGCAACAGGGGCACGAGGCCGTCACGTGACCGTCACAGTAGGGTCTGGACGCAGTCTAGGCAGGGGTCGCCCCCTACCACGGGGCGACGTCATAATACGGTCACGAGGGGGCCTGACCTCACACTGTCAGCCAAGACAGCACTCTGCTGCAGGGGGACGAGACTGTCACGGACCTGGCCACCTACTGCTGGCCACTATTGTTCTGCGAAAGGTGTGGAATGATCCCGTCACAACAGCATCATTGCATCATGGACAGCAGCAGGCCTCCAGCACGTCCGGTCCAGTTATCTCAGCTGCGGCAGCTCTGTGTACCAGCCGAGGCATTAGATCATGGGACGTACCATCTCACGACACAAGTGGACAGGCGGACCTCCGCGCCCGCTGCCGCTAACGTGCCCTCCCCTCCTTTGTTTCGGCCAGTACGGCTCTTTGTAACGAAAGGCGCGTCAGTTGACGTCACTGGGCGAGCTAGTTCAGGCAGGGGTCTTTATTTCTGCACCAGCCGATGGCCAATGACCCATCATTTCAAAATGCGTAACACGGTGCAACGCCAATTACCCCGCCAGCGGCACGTTCCAAAAGCCAGCTCACACCAACACCTCTCCGTGACTGACCGCACCTTTCCATCAGCTCACCGTTCACCGGGAGGGGGAGGGGGGGGGGGCACCTGGCGCCTGCCGCAGTCGCTATACCGAAGGGGGTAGGTGGGCGGGCGGGTAGGTAAAAACCGGGCGCCGCTGGCCGGGCCAGGTGTGGCAGGCGGACGATCGATGCGATGCGATCGGGCGGCGCCGGCGGCAGCCGAGCACGGATCGGCGGCTGCGGTGCCGGGCAGCACGGGATGTGCTGGCACGGAAGCACGCTCACAGATTCGGCCACCTTCACAATCGTCCAAACGTTGCCAACAGTTTGTATTCATCCATCATACCTTGGTCACACATTTAATAATATAACGATGCTATCGTGCGTACGTTATGCACATGGCGTACGCCCATGAAGTACTATACAGTGCACTGTCGTGATTGGTTACAAATGCAGCATAATGTAATGCAAACAATGCATGCAATTTACAACATGATGGTGTACACAACACACCAAAATATTCCATACACCACACCGCCGAGCATTGTATTCAGATGGCAGTCAGAGCGCGCTCTGTGCGCTCGTGACCCGGACCTGACACCGACGGTCCTGTCCCGTCGGGGCGCGGCGCCGCCTGCAGCCCTGCACGGCTGCAGCGGCCGCCGCGGCCGCCGAGCACGCTTGCGTGCATGCCGACCTGTTCTAAATACATTACGACCCAGTCCACCGACAGTCGAAATTAGTTGCTTACACGCCGCTTTAGCGTTCGGCGTGATTCAGAGTTCCAAAGCGGGCAATAAATTGGCGGCACCCGCCGCGACCGACGAGACATCACGAAACGGTGCTACACCGACTGGTCGACTGGTCGACCGGACCCGTAGCCGGGGCCGACGCAGCTGGGCGTCGGTTCAGCCCGCGAGAGTAGCCCACCGCCCGGCTACGGCCGACCGGCCGAGTGGTGCAGCCGAGCGAGCGGCAGCGGCGGCGGCCGGTTCTCCCGCAGGGACTCGGTCGCTCGCTCGCCACGGCTACGGGCGCGCGGCGGCACCGCGTGTGTCGCCGCCCGCCGCGGCCGGCCCTGCACGGCGGTGCAGGGCCGGCCGACACCGGCGGCCGGCAGCGGCGGTCACGGCGGCGGCGGCGCGGCATGGCCCCCCGGAGCGGTCGACACGTCGCCACACACGGCGGGCCGGCTGTCCCGGCTCCGAGCCGCCCGAGCCGCCTGATGCAGCGCCGGACCCAGTGACGGCCACGCCAGATCCTGGCCACGACCGGCTCGCTGGAATGCTAACGTTGACTAAGTAGCGTGGTGTGTTCCCATGCATTACAGAGGGGCAACTGCCGAGCCCAGCCTCGTATGGGCTACGCCCGCTCACTTGATGGCCCCCAATGCTGCGTATGGGGGAAAAACAATACTGCGTTGACAGCTCGCACGTACAGAAAGTTTCGGATCTACCCCACCGCGGGGCTCACCTCCGTACTGCGGATGTCATACGGCCCTGACAGGCCGGCCGGGGCGGGCCGGGCCGGACCGCCCCAGCCCCTCCCCACCACACCGTTTATCGGGCGTCCGCGGCGCCGCGTTGCAAACATTGACGGATGAGCGCGCCGAACAAAGCCTCCTAATGCGGCCCCGCCCCGGATGTGGCGGCGCCGGCCGCGGCCGTCCGGCCGTACCGCCTGCTCCGCCACGGCCCACGCCGGGACCTGCGCGGCCCCGCCGCCGGGACCTGCGCAGCCCCGCCGCCGGGACCTGCGCAGCCCCGCCGCCGGCCGCGGCCGGCAAAACGGCGCGGCGCTACTGCAGAGGCAGGCTTTAACTCCCTCCACGAAGACCGCCTCGCTCCTCCAGCCGCTGCCCAGCGCGGGCGCCGCCACGCGCCCGCCGGTGCGGAGTGCGTGCCGCGGGCCGGAGGAGGGCGCCGAGCGGCGCCGGCGGTGGAGACTGTCGCTCCGCACAGCACGGTAACCCAGCCAGCCGAGCGAGCGCGGCCGAGCGCGGAGTCGACGCCCGACGCTCCGGTCCACGCCAGACGGCGGACGGACGGCAGCCAGGGGCGGCACTGGTCGCCTACCATTGCAAGGCCGGGCGAGGGGTGGGGTGGGCGGCGATGCAAAGAGTAGCGGGCCATGGCGCCCCAAATGGCCATAAGCTCCCCCATCCTGTGGCTAATGCAACGGCTTAATTTATGGCCCGGTGAGCCCACTTTTTGCCAATCGCGTTTTCAATAGACGGCAGTTACCGAGGGGGAGGTGCTATTTCACTGGTGCAGAATGGAGTGTCGGCTGCGGACGGTACATCAGCGGTCCAGAAACCGGTCCGATCACACAGAGATCACAGCGGAGGCCCCGCTCTCGAGGCGACCACACAGCTCGGCTCCGCTCAGCGGGACACCGCGCCTCGGCGCACCCCGCATCGGTGCACCGCCGAGTGAAATACATCAAACACGGCTTTGATGAAAACGCTGGGTGTAACTATGCGGGCTGACCTGCATCCGCGTCCGGTCCATCTGAACTAGCCTGCATACCGCGCGCACTGGCCGCTGGACCAAACTTCCGCACAGGCCGGGCTGGCCTGTTTGACCTGCCACTCCGTCCCCCTCCCCAAACAAAACACCGGTGCGACCTGGCGCGGGAGGCCGCCGGCCGGCCGCTGGCCGCTGACACTAATTCTTTGGCGGCGGCAGGACGTGTCGCCTCAGCGGTGCGCCGGCCGGACGTGGGGCCGGGCTGGCCGCGCAGCCCGCTGTCGCCCGCCTGTCGGCCCCACCACATCTCGCGCAGCCGCCGCCGCCGCCGCCGCCGCCGGTGCGCGCCTGTGGTGCAGCCACGCGGGCGATGGGCCGGGTAGCCGTGACACCGGGCAGCCCGGAAGCAGGAGCGGTGGGCAGCTTGTCGGGCCGCCGTGATACCGGGCAACCCGGCAGCAGGGATAATGGGCAGCTATCAGGAAAGCGGGACAATGGGTAGCCGGGCAACACTGACAATGGACGTTGGTAGAGACCGAGCAGGAGTGAAAATGGGTAGCCGGGCAGCATGAAGCCAGCCAGTTAAGCACGTAGGCACATGGGCTGTCCGGGTCAGGCTGGGTCAGGTCGGGTCAGGTCAAACCACCAGCAGCCGGACAAATGCCGACCCGGTCCCAGCCGAGCGGGGTTCAGGTCGGTGACGTCGGTAATCCGACGAACGGCGGAGGGCGGACGGGGGCGGGGGCGGGGTGTCACGCTTTCGATCCCCTAGTGACGGTTGCAACCAGCTCACAAGCTCTGGCCAAGCCATCCCAATGCCGACGTGGAGCCCGTTAATGTTGAGCTCTATGCCTGACAGACTGGGTGAGGTGGGATGTAGATGCAAGATGTAACTACGTGGCGCCCGGTAGATCGCTGGCACGCGCATTCGGTCATGGACCGTGAGCTATTTTGGCAATTCCCGTGCTCCCTCCGCCCTCCCCACTGTCAAATACGCATACTATAGCCGTAAACAGCATGATTTCCGAGCAGTGTCAGTCCCGCAAACCCATCTCGGCGGGCGTGCAATGCTTCATCATCGCTAAGCCACCGCAACGCCCGGTGATAACGCATCTTGCGGAGTCCGCGGCGTCATTCCGCGGCGCGCGGCGGAACCGAGTTCGCGGCACCGGAGAAGCTTCGCGTCGTCTCGACGGAAAACAGAGCGCACCGCCGGTGGCCGGCCGTAAATTCGGCTGATGGTGGGAGCGGCGGCTGGTCGGCAGCCACGGCCGCTGGTTATCAAGTGACTCTGCACAACCGACGCTGTGTCCGGTCGCACCGTTCAATACCGCAGCACTGTACACACGCCAGACGAAGAGAACGAAGCAACGAAGCCCGTAAGCGGGGTGATAGATTGTGATGCTCGGCTGCCGGGTGCAGGGGCCGCAATGGTGGGACCGAACCCGCTGGCCTGCACAGCAGCACGGAAGCCTGCACAGAACCGCTTCGCACGGCAGTGTGTTAAATGGCAGTGGGAGAGAGGGGGGCGAAGATGCAAAGATATGGAGGAGAGAGAGAGAGAGAGAGAGAGAGAGAGAGAGAGAGAGAGAGAGAGAGAGAGAGAGAGAGAGAGAGAGAGAGAGAGAGACAGAGACAGAGACAGAGACAGAGACAGAGACAGAGACAGAGACAGAGACAGAGACAGAGACAGAGACAGAGACAGAGACAGAGACAGAGACAGAGACAGAGACAGAGACAGAGACAGAGACAGAGACAGAGACAGAGACAGAGACAGAGACAGAGACAGAGACAGAGGACAGAGACAGAGACAGAGACAGAGACAGAGACAGAGACAGAGACAGAGACAGAGACAGAGACAGAGACAGAGACAGAGACAGAGACAGAGACAGAGACAGAGACAGAGACAGAGACAGAGACAGAGACAGAGACAGAGACAGAGACAGAGA